TATTTTATAAATTACTGTAATGATAAATAAATATTCTATAAATACTTGCCAGTGATCCAATTAAAATTTTATGGCCAAAAATCATCAACGCATGGAACTTTTTCGCGTTTTCTGGTTGAAGTTTACGTTTACGCCATCTGTGTGTGATGGACTTTACGTTTTACGTCTTACGCTTATGTCTTACAACCTTACGGGATTTTATGTGTGATGGCCTTAAATCTGCACATCTATAGATGAGATGAGCTAGAAAGAGAGCGGACAAAAGAATAAGAGAAAGTGAGATAAAACCTCAGATGGCATTACTGGGGAACTTACTCATTTCGCGCATGCGCACTCCGTTTTGGCCAACACAAAAACCGCAGAGAGTTGCGCTACTGTATACACTGTGATAATGGCGTGGCCGGCATGGCACGAACCATACGAACCCGAAACCGCGCGGAATACACAAATGTTAAATCCGAGTAATGTAAATCTAGCTAGCTGCTATTAATTTTTATAATGTAATACAATTAATAATTTTTTAAACAGTATTTATACATAAGCTAAAGCATTATTATAATATACAGCGTTATAATAAATATAATTTAATCTAGACAATGTATGTCTGAAAGACGTCTTAAATACATCATAAAGACGTTTTTAGACATACATTATTGTCTGTCAAAATGTCTTAAAATAGACATCAAAAAGACGTCATAAAAAAAACGTCTTTAGGATTTTACTTAAAGTCGTCTTAAGACTATTTAAAGTCTTAAAGACTATTTAAGTAAAGTCTTAAAGACATCTTTTTTAAGACGTCTTTTGGACGTTTTTAAGATATACGTGTTGTCTGAGAAGTCTGAAGTGAGCTGAGTTACATGTTTTTCAACTTTCGAAATCGCGAGGATAGTCACAACATTTCATTCTATTAACTCACATATTTCAACTGTTTTACGCGAATACTTGGGATCGCATGTGGTTTGAGACGGGTCACACTAAGAGAATTTTTATCGAAACAATCTTTGGTATAAAATGCTTTGAACGTATGACAGTAATTTCCCACTAAACACAGTTATGTTATTGTTACATTACTGTTACACAATTCAACGTAACAAGTAATGTTATGTTGATGTTACAACTAACTTAAATGTAAGTTTCAATTTCCGCCTTAACAACGTAACAACGTAATGTTACATTTCACATAACAGTTATGTTACTCAATTACGTAAATATTGAAAAAAAAATTTTTTATTTTATTTTATTACATATTATTTTTAGAGTTTAATCTGTATTTACTATTTCGTATATTTTCTATTTAATTATTAATTATTACAATTTATACGGTTTATAATTTTGAAAACATCGAGATTCGAACCTGAGATCCCTAGAACAGTAGACTTGTACGCTAACACTGAGCTAATGATACATTGTGGAAAGAACTTATTTTTTCTATTATATATTCTATACCTTTCATATCTAAACAAATACTGTAAACAATTTAGAAAGTATAGGCAAATACTGTAAAAACTGATTGAAATAATAATGTATATAAACAATAAATAATCCGCATTTTCTAAAAACACAGGGTGTTTAAATATTGAAAAAAATATGTATAGATATATTTACTCATGCATATTTTTTATATATACACTATTATTTATTTTAATATATTGCCATTAAAAATTTCAACATTCTTTGAACATTAATAAAATTGAAGGAAAGATGTCTTCAAATTTAAAAAATTAAAATAATTACATTTATTATTTTTTGTCATTTTAAGATGTAATTATGTAAAGCAGCGTTAAACATAGAAATATTTTAATAAAGGTAATCTATTTTATAAGTGGAAATAATTTCATTTACCTATTTTTAAATCTATTTTCTTCTTAAAGATTTAAAAAGATATTTTTATAAAAATATTATTTATAAATAGAAAGATTTTTATTTATTATAATAAACCTGCAATTATAAAGTTGATTCACAGAAGATTGACACAGCAATTAATATTATAATATATAAATGTTTATAAATCTATATTCTAATTTAAAAAATAAAATATGTAAAATATATCACATATAAGTAATATTCAACATTATATTTATATCAAAGATATATTCGCACAATGTTACTCTAACGTTAAAAAGTTATGTTACAATGACAAACTTTTACATGTAATCTTGAAATAGTAACATGAAAGTAACAAGTTACATCTTCCAGATGTAATAATAACATAACAATTGTTACATTACTTGTTACTTCCAGGTAACGTAATTGTTACAAAGTGTGATTAGTGGTTTTTTTTCGGTTTCCATTCGCTGCCTTTATTTACAAAATTTATCCATATACCTTGTAGGATCTTTTGGAAATCTATAAAAATATATTGTTTTACAATTAAAAATTATTTTAACAGTTTACATATTAGATAATGTAATAATAATAACAGATACTCACATATAAAAAGTAACTCCACAATTTTTTGCTTTGGAAAAACCACACAAAATACAGCTAACCATTTTATAATTATACATATACAGGGTGTCTCGTACTCAATGATACAGCGCTTGTGGGGGTAAATGATTGTCTAGCGCACAGCAATGGATAACTCCCACCACGCGCCGCCAACTAGGCGCGCGGGGGAGGTGATTGCGGTCGGCGGCGGGCGGGCGTATCTCGCCGCGCGTTCAGATTCGACGAGCTTTATACATTAATATCTCGAAAACTATTGCGAAGATCGCAAAATGGCAGAGAACTTTTTTGTTCAGTTTGGTCCACACTACTTCCCCACAAACGCTGTACCATTGAGTACGAGACACCCTGTATATATACAGAGTATCCCGTAATGACCGGACCAACGCTTAAGGGTAGATTCCTGAGATCATTTTAAGACAAAAGTTCCAATACCAAAATGTTGAGGCTATAGTAGTTTTTGAATTATAAGTGTTTAAAGTTAACTAATCAGATCGTCTAAAGTTGGCGCGCTCAGGTATGGCACAACGCAAACTCCTAAAAACAAAAGCTGACTTATCGCTCCTTTTATTAATATTGATACAAGGATTACATATGTGAATATAAGATTATTTTTATTAATATTTCTGCAAACACATTGCGCAATAACATTGTACAATAATATTTTCTTTTTTATAATAACACTTTTAGTCTTTACATAATACATAAAGCGC